TACCTAGCGATCCTAGTCGCGCGAATGGTCACTTAATTCAGTCGCTAGTTTACATCGCCGTCATACTATATACTATATAGTAAAAAATAACATACATATTCTTTAATGATAAAGGGGGACCGAAATGCTTAGAGGTCACTTGATGGTAGGCGATATACCCCAGCCTATAGCATTTAAACTTCGCGGCTTTTTCATTTATGGACGGTGGTGCGTGCTAACATTAGACCAACGATCCACTCAAATTTCGTATATCATTAAATAAAAAACAAATGGCTGAAAATAAAATATTTCAGAAAAATAAAACAAAATGAAAAACCAGGGGATTATTAAACGCGAAATAGCATGTTCATAGCCGAAATAACACTAGAAATGGGAGGCCGAAGGTTTTAATTAAGGAAAGGTTATGGAGTTCTGGAGTTGTCGCCGTTTTAATTTGGCAACAGTTGTTACAGCTCAAACAATTTCGAAGTTATTACAAGGTATAGAATATTTACTTTTTACAACATAAAATATAAATTAAGCCTTCTATTTTTACAATAAACATATTCAAAGCCAAAATCTCGTTTAAATGTTATATGGCTGTGGTATTTCACATTTCGTCAAATGATGCCCCATGCCTGTGGGTCCTTCTCTATCATAAATAAATAGGTCTTTAAATATATATACAGACTGATACGCAATTACGCAATTTCTCTTATAAGAATGTTGATAATCTGTTAAAATCCTACAGCTAGGTCAGTTGAACGGGCCTTCTCTCACTTAGATGGTTGTAGAGCTCAGACAAGCACGGGGCTCCCTTGGTTTGTAAAATAAACCGTATAACATCCAGACAAGATATGTTGTTAAACTATTTTGGCTTGATGTATTCGGTATAATGTTATATTTTTTTAAAACAAGAGCTAATATAAAATTGTCCGTTGGAATAAAACTTTTCAAAGTTAGCGTATTGTTGAATAGCGTTTATAATAAATAGTTAAGTCACGCTAATGGCTTGAAATAACTAATGGCTTAAAAGCTTGTTGCGGTGTCAACCAATTTTTACTTTTTAAAGTCAAAATGAAACATAACGCGGTTTAAAATGCTTTTAAAACACGAAGAACATGCCAAAGTATAGTCTTACTTTAGTCTTACTAACTTTGAAATGTATATTCATTAACTTGTATTTTCTGAGAAAATTTATTATAAAATGCCCGGGCTCTAAAAGTCTACGAGTCCACGCCTCACTAATTCGGTGGCTGTAATCGTTGAGGCCCGACAGCACTCAATTAGTAGCGTGATGGTTTATGCTCTTATGGAAGAAGTGACCTGTGCAGTTGGGTTTTTACTAATATGTAAAACTGAAGAAATTGTTGTTTGAATTTAAAAATTCTTTATGTGGTCATACATAGCCCAAAGTAGTACACATTTAAATGATACACTTTGACTCTTAAACGCGATATACTAGCACACCGACCACAGCAGCCGTGGTAACGAGGAAAATGCAAGCCGTGACCACGGTCTGCGAAGCATCCGAATACGTGGGAAGTTAAAAATCCTTTTCAATAAGTTTAACTTATATCGCGTTTAAAGTAAAGGTTTATTTAAATTCTTTACGGGGCAACGGACCCAAAGAAGATCCCTCTTTAACGATCAAAAAGGCGATAATGCACCTTTAAGTGTTTAATTTGCAAGAAGGGGGTGCTTTTGAACAGGAGGTTCGTCAAAAACAATTTTTTTGCCCACATTAACTATTCGACGAGGACGAAGCCGACACAGCTAATATAAGATAAAACCATTTTGTCGGTTTACGTCATGCATTAGTTAAACTTATTTGTAACATATTTGTTAAATGGTTGTAATTACACCAATTTTAATATCGTAATGTATCTCATTACGTAACTTGTGCAATAATTAATGCTAAAAACAACCATTTATTATAATGGCGGCGTGTTTTTACCTTTGCAAAAAATAAAGTTTTAATATACTCCGTCTAAAAATGAACTAGGATATTTGGGGGATTCGCTTTTAAAAAATCTTAGCAAAGAGGTTTTATGTCAAGATAGTGGTGGGGGGAAAAAAAAAAAAAAAAAAAAAAAAAAAAAAAAAAAAAAAAAAACCAAAAAAAAAAAAAAAAAAAAAAACCAAAAAAAAAAAAAAAAAAAAAAAAAAAAAACAACAAACCAACAACAAAAAAACCCCGAAAAAAAAAACAACGGACCCCCCCCCCCTCCCCCAAAAAACCACCCACAAGGAAACAGATGGCGCTAGCGTACAATATTTTATTTAAGGTGAAAAAAATCCCCATTTTTTGTTTTCCCGTGACCACGGCTGCTGCAAAGCATCCGAAACGTCGGGCCGAAGTAAAATTAACTTTGGGAAATAAAATATAACAAATAAACACTTTAATTCTTTAATTTAATTAAAGTAGAGGAAGGCTTTAAATTACAACCATTTATCTATAACATAAACACAAAAATATTAACACAACCAAAACAAATTTTGATGTTCAAAATACGGCGGACGAGGTCGCTGACACAGCTTGTTAGAAATAGACTGTAAGCTGTAATATTCTCACCTTTTTCCGAAAACATATTTAGATTGACAATAAATGATACAGCCAAAATATTTTGTAATACAACTTTTAACTTTCTATGATTGACGCTACTTGTAAAATATTTCAATAAATGTTAACCTAAAAACGAACAATTCGACGAATGCAAGCGAAAGCACAACAATAGCGGGTGGTTAAAAAATATCCGCGGAAATGAAAATAAATTGGGAAATAGGCCAAGTGACCAGCGGGATATTGTTAAAACCACAAACTGTGTCATGCAACTAACAAACGTAAAGCACAATAGCGACTTGCAAACATAGCAACTATATCAACGAGTTTAAAAAATTGTCTAGCTACTGACCATGAAGACCTTTTAGTATAATATAATAATAATAATGTTTTATAAATAATAAAGCAATAATAATATTAAGAAAGGCAAGTGATATTTGTCAACTACATAATCTCAAAACTTAATCGAGTACTTGTAAGCGGCTACTGAGGTTCTACAGGTCATCGTCGAACTTTTTTCCTTCTCGATTCCTAATTTTATTCAATCGATCATATAAATTAAAAATCGATTATTGATCATCGAATCAATAATCGATTTTTAATTTATATGTCATGTGCTACTCGGTATCAAAGACGTATTGTTAACTGAAAATCATCTAAAATGCCGGGCCGTAGTCAAAATAATATGTAAATAAGTTTTATTTATACAAATCGCTTTTTAAACCGTTAAAAATATTTTATACACTTTTATTCCGACACTCAAACTCAGGATCACGCTCAACCGTTAAACGTAGCCGGTTATAAGCTGAGTACATAATTCGTTGAAGGTTTGAATTTTACAGAAGGCTGCCTGATAAAGAATTGGTAATAGTTTTCCTGTTTACAAACTTTGTAGACGGGGCTTCCTAGTTTGGACTCTGAATTAAGTATTAATTAGCTTGTTACATCTGAGAGCCAAGTTGGAAGAACTGTCTGCTCTATTTTAGACGCGTTAAGAGCTCGTGAACAGAAAGTCGAAGGAGCTTTATTTCTTCTAGGATTACACGACGATCTGCAGTTTACCGGAACGTAGTCATTGTTTTAGCATTTTTAGTTTCTTTAATAATGTTTTTTTTAAATAGAGGAGAAGGGACAAGCATGGTTTCTCTTGGTGAAAAGGTGAAGTACCTCAGCCATATGGCATCTCAACAAGATGCGCTCTCGACCTACTTCATCATGGGTATGCAGAAACAGACATGATTAAACTTCACGGCTTCTCTATAGACAGTTCGTTGAGTTAATTTAACATCCACGTTTCCAGACGAAGTCCAACGTGTTTCATAAAAAATATAAATTGATTAGAAACACTTTGTTCGAAGGGAATCCAACTTGCGACCCGTGGATTATTAACCATACATCGCTAAGTTTAAAATTCATTCTAAATTTAAATTCCAATTGAATAATCACAACCATCGTATTTAATGGTAGAGCAACAGCACAAAACACTGGTCACGGATTCGAGTCCCAAGTACATTTGTTTTCTCAAATATACCGTTCCAGTATTGTGCAAATTTGATTATAAGAAAACACGTCCAACACCACGCAACACAGCTCGTGGTTAATTAGCAGACGCAGATAAGTCTCAGTGAACCGTGAAAGACATGCGGTTAACCATACCCACGAGTGAGACGACAGACGCACAAATATAGACATTATAATTATTATTGACATAAAAACAAGAGCCTGCGTTATATTTATAGCTGTTACCCACGGCGTCGTTCGCGTCCCGTCGTTCTTGCCAGTTAATCTTAAGTAGACATTACTGTCGCGAACATTTTTTTAAATCATTTACATAGGAATTATTCTTTTATAGGTGGCTATCTTCGCAGCGCACGCAAGGGACACTCTTAAAGGTGAATATTTTCCCCGCTGGCCTCCCTCGATAAATACTCTTACCAACACAAGTTTTTTTTCAACTCGAAGCAGTTCTTAGAGTAGCGCTTTCAAACAAACAAACTAACTTTATAATATTAATATAAATTGGGACAATAAAAAATTTAACTTTTTTTAATATGTAAATTAAGAGTTGCTTAACATTCATTAATAATATAACTCCTCGGAAAAATCGAGTCGTAATTTTATTGATTCTTTTACAGTTGGTGCAAACCAAACTGTCAAACTAAGTGACAATATTAGGAACTAAAATTTAAGAGAAAAGAATAGAGGAAGTGAGATGTGAAGAGTTGGCGAAGGCGAATCAAATTCATACAAAGAAAAAAAAATATATTAGCAGTACAAATAAGTTTCCACCGTTTTTTAACAAAAATTAAATATTTATTATAGAAGAACGGTATTATAAATTTATTTAAAATATTGCCCATCACTTGCAACCACTTTTTACCATCTCTTAGGCAGCATTAGAATCCCACGTCTGAAGAACTCCTTGTCTTTTGAGGCTATCCACGAATCGATGGTATCCTCATAAGATGTGAACCGCTGCGCCGTCGGCGGCCCGACAGGGCCCGGCGTACGGCGGGTGGGGTAACACTTCCCAATCGAGTGTTTCCAAGTACTTTTTCACGGGAGCTGCAACATGTAGACCAGCATTGTCATGCAGAAGAATATTTTTTTCGTGTCTAGAATGATATTAACAAATTTACAAAATAACGATACGAAAAAAACCCTTTTTTTTATGTCTAGCTAGCAGCATTTCACTTAAGCTTAATCGGCGTTCAATATCTCTCGGCTTTAATTCGTACGGAACCCAACTTCCTTGTTTATGAATCATTCTTAATGATTTTAGATGACGTGAGGCTGCTTGCTGAGTGACTCCTAATGGTAGAGTAAGTTCTTTTTGTGTTTGAGGTGAATCTTCCTCCAATAGTTCCTCCACTTCTGCATCCTCGTAAATTTTTGGCCTTCCACTGCGATATTTGTCTTCTACGTCTAAACCAGCGTTGTTTGAACTTTTGAAACCACTCTCGACACGTTCTCTCACTCAAAGCGGCCTCACCATATGCTTTTACGAGCAATTGATGCGCCTGAGCAGCATTTCTTTAAATTAAAGAACGACAAATGACGCTTACTTGACTCAAATTTTGACATTTTCACCATATAAAAACTAGAAACTCCGTGCCGCGGCATCTACAATAAAACGGCGAAAACTTATTTGTACTCCTGTATATATATACTAAACTTAAAATGAAAAAATACAGATCGTTCGTTGCTTTACCATTATTTGCACATTAATTCGGAATGTTCCATTATTAATAATCCCAGATTAGTCACAAATGCAACCGACTCCGTACGACGCACCAGAGTCCCATAAAACACTCGTTATGACCTCAATTCTGACAACTCGTAATACCTAGCAAATTAAATATGTAACCCGAATTAGTATGTTGTTAAAATGGACAAGCTCATTTTTTTGTTTACAAACCACGAGGGACAAGTTTTTAATAAGTACTCACTTTTAGGGTCCTGAAGAATAAAAACGGATCCCAATTACTAAGTTAACTGAAATGTTTTGAGTTGCTCGTTGTTTCAATGGTTGTAATGTATAGCGAATCAACGATTTTTGGAATCGATGCCCAGCGGAACTAGCACTACAAAACCTAAAAAAAAACACTTTTAACGGTTTAAAACGCGATATGTATTTGTTCGTCTTTTACAAATTATTTTCATTTCAGCGCACCGTTTCGAAAGTTTTTAGCGTAAGTCAGAGACAGCATGTTTGTAATTGTTTGTTTTTTATTACTGAGTATTTAATAAATTACTTTTAACCGTTTGAGACGCAATATAAATTAGGCGTTTTCATCCATCAGCCGACATGGACAAAAAATAAATCCACGTAACTCAACTTACATCGCGTTCAAACCGTAATATATTTACTACATAAACTAAAAACAATTTTTTTCTCACAATATGTAGAACATTTCGATGTTGTCTATGGATGTCGTTAGCGACATACATACATAATACAAGATCCATAGACAATATTTGCGTTTCGGTGTCAGTGTATGTTTTAGAGAAATTATAAATTGAAAAATTAGAAACTCGTCGGACTTGGTAGGGATCGAATCCACGACCAGTCGATTATTAGCCATAAGCTACTACCATTAGACCAACGAGCCCGTCTTCTTCGGTGTCACACGGTTGCTGTGTGTGTTAAAATCCGTTTTCCAAAATTAAAAACAACGGAAAGTTATATATATGTATCCAAGTGCACTTCACCGAGGCGGGCGTTTCAATTACTGGAATTAATATTTCGCGATACTTCGGTAGGAGCACTCATGTGAAAAATTAATACACTTTGTTTTAACGGAAATAACTTTTGCAGGCCCTATCTGGTCCTGAAAACGATTTTTGTAAATTAACGTACATATATCGGTGCCGGGGCAAACACCGTGCGAAATTTTATTTCGATTGAATTGGCAACGTACAAATAATTACTTTTCGCAAACGAGGTAAGCAGTAAGTGATGTAAAGCTAAATCCAAGCTTTACATCACCCGGCAGACGAAGTCCAAAGGAGACTGATATTGGGAGATGGAGTTGCTAAGAACTTGGATATATAATACCTAGAATCGGGACCAGTATAGAAAGAGATGAGGGAAGCTCTATTGTTCAAATTACTGTCTTTTTGTTTTCTGTTTCTCTTTGTTTTCTGTATCACTTTTCTATCAGCGAAGAGAATAGGGCCATCCCATTGAAATTCCTGATTCTCCCACAGGTGAAGCATAAATCGAAACACAAGTGCCCGGGCAGAGCACTTTATACGCTTCATATATCCCCAGTTATCCCGGCCGCGGCTTATTTACTGCCCTCTTAAGACCATCCATTGGTCTACTCGTGTTATTTTTATGGGATCTTACGACTAATAAATGGCTCGAGATGCTCTCGGATAATTGTTTCCTGTAAAATTATGTATTTATTCAACATATTTTAAAAGCTCGATCCAACGTTATTATATTCTTTTTGTTGTACCGCCTTAATGATTTATGCAATTGAATATTATAGACACAACTGTCTGTAGTATGCGAAGCTTTAAAATTGGTACATCCTCCAACTTCAGTCCCCCACGATCACGACTGCTGCAATATATCCAAAACGTCGGACTATAGTTAAAAAAATTGTAACTAATAAAAATAATATATAGAGTGTCTGGGTTCGAATCTCGAAGTTAAAATTAGTTGCAACTGAGCACGACAAAAGTATTATCAAAATACAAACCTGAAACAGTCATAAACGTGTCTGTCCCGAGCTTCACGCAGGTTAATTTAAGACTAATATTATCTTAAATACTGTCTATAGTCTACGCGAGTAGTACACATTTAAATAAAACACTAACGGTTTAACGTCGGGCCGAAGTTAAACATAATTTTCAAATAAGTTTAACTACTATATCGCGTTTTAAACCGTTAAAGTGTTTTATTTTAATATTATCTTGTAATGTTAATAATAGGTTTTCGGTCTGGTACGGCAGACCGCCCGGTTATTTCGCACAATAAGCATTCAATCACATCAATGTTTGTGAACTGCAAAATTCAGGGCAGCATTGTCCATTCACTTGTGACGGTAGTCCAATAATTGACACTGAAACAATGCACGAGTAACGGCCGAACGTAAAAACAAATGAATGCGTTTGTAACACGGGACTGAAACTGAACGAATTTGTACTGAACTGTTGAAAGTTTCAGTATTATTTTCCTACGAAAGAAGTCAATTTCGTTAATAACAGATTTCATGCATCTAGTGCTGAAAATAAAAAAATATTCAAATGCAGAGTGTTTATTTCCATATTTTGTGTAAACTTTTAAATGATTTAAAACGTGAATTAAATTAACAACTAGCTGTGTCAGCGACTTCGTCCGCGTAGAATAATTATTTTTGACATCAAAATTTATTTTTGCAAACGACCACCTTACCTAAATAAATGATAGTTACCCACGACGTCATCATCCGCATCCCGTCTTTCTTGCAACTTAATCTTTACCGATAGACATATACCAACGCGGGCATTTTTAGACCACTTAAAAGAAATAATTCTTTTATAGATATTTCGAACCGTTTTCGCAGCGCAATCGACCCGGAGCGGAAACCCTCACAGATGAACAGTTTTCCCCATTTTTCCACGTTTCCCGCTGTTTATTCAGTCCTATTGGTCGAAGATGTTTAATAGCCTAAAGGCTATTTCGATAATTGTTCTAACAAATACAAAACAATAATTTTTCAATTCGACAAATACTTCTTGAGTATAGCGCGTTTGAACAAACACTCTTCAGCTTTACAATATTAGCAAAGATATCATTTTAACGACTATGAATATAACCCAGTTAAAAGATTCGACTTGACATGTTTCATTAAACGTGTTCGATTGAGGTATAGAGCATACACTGCATAATTAGTTGTTATATGGTAGAACATAACCATAATTATACTTTGCTTTTGTATAAAAGATGGAAGGTGATGCTTCAGTTCCAATATCGCCCATTTGACCTAATTTGAACATTTAATATATGTAATGTAATATACAGAATAAAGACCGCCTCTGTAGCCAAATGGTTAAACGTGTTGCCTAGCATTGCGTTATGCGCAAGAGGTCCTGGGTTCGAGTCCCAGAGGAACAAAAAATAAAATTGTTCCAGTCGGGTAGGGCACAGAAATCTGATCAACTACTTAGCAAGTAAAGTTAAAAAAATCAATCAGTGAAACGGACACAGAAATGTTTTCGCCCCATGCCCCACAAGGGGGAAAAGGGATTTTTCATTTACATCCTACAGGAGTAAGAATTTTTACATACAGTAATCGATGGATTCGTTGAAATTAATCTTCTTTTTAAATTTACTAATTGAAATGAATACTGTAGGGTAGATTAAAACAAAAATAAAATTTGAAGCTTACAAATTTATTGAATTTCTTACAATTAAAAAAATGATGACCTTTTACGAACTAACTTTGTAGGTATTTCAAAATAACAATAAATAGTTCGTCTATGACAATGAGATAAGCAATAGTAATTAAATAGTGAAAGAAAACTTAAAAAAAAATGTAAACATAAGAATAAGTGGCTTTTTAAACGGTTTTATTTAGCTCGACCTGTACGGAATTTATTTATTTGGGTCAAAATTAGAAATTGAAGTTTCTTCCCGTTCCCTGAAAAACCTTCCCGTTGTCAGATTGATCTGAAATTTGGTCCACACATTTAATTTAGATGACAATACAATATATTAATATCAATAACATTATAAATTCAAGATGGCCGCTGATACAAAATGGCGGATTACATATTTTTCCTAAACCCCCTCAATATGGGTATCAAATGAACAGGCTACACTAGTAAAATACGATGATTGTATTGATTTTTTTTAGTTTTCAGTGCACAAAAAAATAAAACCGTTTAACTTAAAAGCTTTTTTATCGATTTTTATTGTAGTTAACTTTAATAACGTAGGCTTTTATGCTAAATTATATTTGAACTGTAAAAACTTTACGCATAATAAGCCGGCTATTAATAATATCAATTACAAATAATTAAAAAAAAACATTTGAACTTTAACAAGAATTTCCAATGGCCATACAAGGAAACGGCTAAAATGATGTTATAAAGGACTCTTAAGGATTATTCATCTAACTTCCTGTAGTAAATGCCGTAAGGTATTTCTTTGTGTTCTTGGGGTTTCGGCTTCGGCACGTAAGGGTTCTTCAAAGGGTCTGCATTTAGCCTAGAATAAGAAAAACATCTTCGTATGTTGATAAAGTAATTAGCAATGATTAGATTTTTTTTGTGATGCAGGCGGACAAACAAGCAAGAGGGCGATGGAAGAAGAAGATGTAAGGAGAACTACTCCATACTCCATAACTGCGATATTCCTTGAACTCCAGATTTCCAGACGAAGTCCAATATGTTTCAGATAAATTATCAATTGAATAGAAATATGTTGGACCCGGTGAGGATCAAACTCACGAACTATTGATTATGAGCCATACATTGCTACCGATAGACCATCAATCGCGTCTTGTTAAACCCAATAGTTGTAAGCTACAAGGATAAAAACGAATTGAATGTATACAATTTAAGTAATTCTTATATTTACTGTAAAATACATACCATTTAGGACAAATAAGCATGTAGTTTTCGTTTGCGCTTTAACATTAAAATATTATTTACCTGTAGTGGTCAATAGCCTGCGAGCAATCTACGTTGTACCACCAGTCGCAGGCGAATTTGGCCTGGTCGAAGAGGGTGCCGTTGGTACAGAGGAACGCTGCCCCTTGGTGACCCTCTCTGCCATCGTGACAGACGTGGTAGGCCTGTAACACATTTTTCATGATAGAGGACAGAATCTTTGGGTTCAATTAATGGAAGGTGATATGTAATAAGCAACAAGATAAACTTTCGGCCTATTTTAGGCTTTGGAGATTCTGAAATCCAGGCTGACACCGAAACGCAGTTTAAACTTCACGGTTTTATAATCTAAGGACGGTGGACCTACCACCCTTTTAATATTTAGATTTCCAGACGAAGTTTAACCTTGACCGAACCCACGATCCGTTGATTTTTAGACATGCATTGCTATCAATAGACCAACGAGAAAATATGCAATAGAATATAATTTCGCATCGCACTATATTTATATGAAATAAAACACAAATGATTAATTATGGTCCGACGTCACGAGTTGACATTGAACATATTTCGCGTTTTAAACTGTTTAATGTGTAATTCTTTCACTACCTGCAGATAAACATGGTTATTCAACAGTTTAATGAAATGACAGTTTAATGACAAAATAAATAAAATTTTAACTAGACTAGACTTTAATTTCCCAAAGTAAATTTATTAATATATATCTTTATTTCCTCAATTCAATAACGAACCGTTAAAATCGAACCGTTTCAATAAAATATATTTCTGTTTTTCCTTTCGACTCAAATAAATTGATATTATTGAATTTATCTTTCAACTACGGTAATTTGAAAATTGCTTCTTTTCAAAGGCCTGGAGACTTAATTAATTTCCAAGAAACAGCTATTTAAATTATAAATTCAGATTACGTGACGGCTCAAAGACTAACAATAGCCTAAAACTTATTCAATTTAAACTGAATTAACTTTTCATTACCGCAGAACAGCTTCTCTTTAAAGGATTAAAAGTAGTTGATCGAACTTAATTTCACCAGGTTTATTCTAAGCTATAAGGGACAGTAGGCAGACATATTTCTTCATATCACCGTTTTTTTTCACATTTTCCACCGTTTCTTCGCCCCTATTGGTTGCAGCGATTGTTGTTACATAGATAAATGGTCTACTTCCTCGATACATGGTCTATCCAATAGTTTCTGAGATTAGCACGTTCAAACAAACAAATTGTTCTGCTTTATAAAATTTGTATTTACTATATAAAATTATACTATTTTATTATAACTTGGATGCTGTTTTGTGTTTCGCTTGTAAGGTTATTCGCATGGCACGTTAGGGTTTAAACCCAGGCAGACACAATAATACTAGCAAATAAATAACAAACAGTGCAACAGCCATAGAATTGTGTTTGCCCCGCTCCTTGTTATGTATATTTTAACATAGTTCAATCGAATAAGATCTGTAACGCAAAATGGTAGAATTGTTTTTCCCTTTACATCAAAGGCCATTGTTTCCAAATTTCACTCTAATTACAGCGCTTTTCACAAATTGGACAACCCCTTGGGATTCGTTTGTGATTTTTTAAATATAATTCGGTAAGTCGTAATTGTACAAAGGCGAGTTCTATAATAATTAAAGAGGCGTCACGTTTCTCTGTGCTTGTATCTTTTTATTTTTTTACTCTGTGGTTCGAATTGATTACTTAATAATCCTTTTTTCTTCTATGTAGAACATGTGGACTGTACTCGCTATACCCGCGACTTTGTCCACGTAGTTTAGTTATTTTGGACATCACATTTTTTATTTTACAAACGACCTCCTTAGCTTTATACATTGTAGTTGTCATACACAACGTCCCGTCGTTCCTGTTAATTACTCTTAAATAATAGACTGTCTGTCGCGGACACTTTTTTATATAATTTAAAGAAGAATCACTCTTTGTACATATTTTTTGGTTTCTTGACCCCTTTTTGCTGTGCACGCAACGGAACCTCTCAAAAAATTCCTTTGTTTCTTCGCTTCTATTCGTCCCAACCAAATGCTTCGATAAATAATATAACAACACGAAAATAATTATTTAATTCGAACCAATAGGTCCTGACATTAACGCGTTCAAACAAACAACCAAACTCTAGCTTTATAATATTAGTATAGATTTTTATAGTCTTTTAATTCGCTTTGTATACGGATTAGTATAAGAAACATCGTGAGCTAAATACTGTCTGTAGTTTACGCAAATAGTACACATTTAAATAAAACACTTTAACGGTTTAAAACACGATATATTCAGTTGAAGTTCAACTTATTTGAAACATCTTTTAACTACTACTCTTATCATCGGCATATCAACATTTAAATCTTTAAAGTGTTTTATTTAAACATCGTGACCTATATCTTTATAACAGGGACAGTAACGCAGGCTCAGCTTCTCTTTAATATTTACCTGACATCCAGTTTCCACATTAGCGTACATCCCAGGATGAACTGGCACATGGGCACACGAGAAGCTAGTCTCCGGGACCTGGTGGTAGATAGGATAGTCCACGCCGGGTACTCCGGGGACATTGCGAAGGTCCTGTGGCTTCTCGTGCTCCCGGAGAGGCTTCCGGTATATGACTTGCTGATATTGAGGGTAGTCTTCGTATTGCTGGAAATGCAAGATAATACATGTATCTTATAAGACATTTGGACATCAAGAGATCTATTTATTATTGTAATTAAGTATGATCAATAATTTACAACCCGTTCCACGCGTAATACACATTTAAATAAAATCTTAACGTAAAAAGGAAAATAAAAATATAATATTAATTGAAAATAAAATACGATACGAGCAGGACGCTAATAAACGTTAAAATTAATGCATTTTTTTTATTTTAAATAAAAAAAATGCATTATTTTTAACGTAAAAGTAAAATTAACGGTTTAAATCGCAAAATATATTAAACTAACTTGTCTCCCCGGGACCACGGCTGCTGCAGACCATCCGATATGTTAGGCCGTAGTTAAAATATAAAACTTCGCGTTTTAAACAGTGAGTGTTTTATTTAAATATTGCTTATCAACACATTAAAAATACTTTTTTTTAATTTACTTCGTGTTTACTATGACATAGAGTGCTTATTAGTATACCATCGTGAGATGTCATGATTACATAAGAACACTGACTTAAGTGAAAGTTAAGTTAAGTAGTGGCCATGTAAATATCTTTTATTATCTTGAACTTAGAAGTAATCTTTTACTTCCTATTAAATATTCTAACCGTGAAAGTATTAATTACATACAATGAATACTGTCTGTAGTTTAAGCCAGTATTACAGATTTAAATTAAAAAAAAACGGTTTAAAATGCGAAATATTTATGCGCTAAACTTATTTATAAATTATTTTAACGCCAGCTAAAAAGGATCCAAAACGTCGCGCCGTAGTTAAAATCATTTTCAAATAAGTTAAACTAATATATTTCGCGTTTTAAACCGTTAATTTTACTTCAATACACTGGTTACTAATAATTATTAAATACAATAAGTAAGTATCGTTACTATTCGAAGAAATAATTCAATTTTACCGTTTGAATAATTCTTGTCCTATGTTCCTAAGCCCTAGATTACAAAAAAGGACCATTCAAGTGAGAGGCAGTCAGGGACGACCAGCGCTTGCGCAGTGCAATTGCAATTTCTTCATCCAAGGAAATTATGCACCCAAATAACTGTTATTAGATAATTAAATGATTTGTACCTGGCTTCGTTATAATCTGATGTTCTAACAAAGTAAAGTAAGTGGGGGTATTTTTCAATCACAGTCTTAAAATGGTTGTTTTTAGGTCTCCGTAACTTAGTTTTTAATCTGTTTTAATCGATACACTTTTAGTAAAATTGGGCCAAAATTACATTTATCCTCTGGCTGCCCTCTTTAGTGTATATTTAATTAATATATTATGCGACTAAAAATACAATAGTACAGTTCTGTATCTTTAAAACACTTTATTAATATGATTATTTAACCTTTTTTAAACTAAAAATGGAAATACATTGCGTTGGTTATTGATAAGCCCCTATTAAGTATTTAATTGATGTTGTTATTTTCAGTATTTATTTTGTGACATACATGCGAGACCCGTGGATCATAAAATGGGCACATTTCGAAGATGGGTTTATACGTATTCTGTGCCCTGCCCGACCGACAATTTATTGTTTTCCCGGGGTGCGAATCTACAACCGCTCGCGTTGAGGCAACACGTTTAACCATTTAGCTTTTAGCCACAAAGACGGTCATCATATTCTCCCAAGAGGAAATTTCAACTGTAAACGAATACGATATCTATAATATTTAAATAAAACACTTTAACGTTTTAAAACGCGATATATTAGCTAAACTTATTTATATCGCGTTTTAAACTGTTAAAGTGTTTTATTTAAATGTAAACTATAGACAGTATTTGATATCTATAATATTTCTGTTTCGTCCCCAGCCCTTGAGTTTAAAGCGATTTCATCTAAGTTGTTTTTCCACAAAGACTAAATAAATGTTTTACACACAGTTTTTATATTTTATTTTAGACAAGAAGCGAAGTTATCTCTACAATTTCAACAAATTACGGAACAAAACCACGCCATAAACTTAGTGCAGTCTCATACAAAGAACAAACTGCAAGTTTTAACTTAAGAATTTTATTACTTTCTCCGGCACCTCCTTTTGTTTTGAACTACATTCTTGATATGTTATTTCTTGGAAAATATTGTTTTGTTTTCAGAAACTTTGCAGTTTTGGCAGTGGCTTAGATTTGTAACCGAGGTCTGGAACATCTCATATCGGTTTTGTTATAAAAGCTTTGTCTTGTAGCTTATCTTGAGCTAATAAATAATTCACTTTTAAAAGTATCTTAAAAAAATGTGAAATTCTCTTTCAGACATAGTGAAAGAATGGATTAGTATTCAAAATATATATCTTAAGTACAAACAGACCAATAATGCATTTTTTTTTATTATCTATACTAATCTATATAGCTGAAGAGTTTGTTTGTTAGTTTGATCTCAGGAACTACAGGTTCGAATTGAAATTTTTTTTTGTGTTGGTTAGAGCATTTATCGAGGATGGCTATAGGCTATATAATATTTTCCTATGACTCATAAGAGCTAAGATACAACGAGAAATATGACATAAATTGGGAAAATTATTCATCATTATGCGTTTCCGAGGCGTACGGTGCAAACACGGACAAGATATGGCCAAAAATATGTATGAAAAAATAATTTCTCTCTAAATGATCTCAAAAAAGTTGGCGACGCTATACGTCTATCTTTTAAGATTAACTTATAAGAACCACCGGCCGCGGGGAAAACAATTATTATTTATAAAGATGTGGAGGAGGTTTTCAATAACAAATTATGACGCTCGAAGTAACTACTACGCGGACGAAGTCGCTGACAAAGCTAGTATTATATAATTACATTAATACGAACATCTCGAATATGATAAAATACGGCTAAACTAACTCAAAATTATGGTCGAAGTGGAAATTACAACAATAAATTATAAACGATAAAGATCTTTTAATTTTTCAAGTTCGGGTTTCCAATTCCCGAAGTTTTGATGTAATCGGCGTTAGGAACGGAATTATTGCAATAACCATACTGGCTATGTCATAGCTACGTTGATCTCGACGTGTTTTCAGTACACTGCTCTGCTGCTTGATTAGCCCTTTAATAGTTCTCACTGTTGGGATTCAGGCTTTCTAACAGACAGGCAAAACATTATCCACCACTCTACAACCAAATGAAGGCTAAGCCGAGCAAGTCAAGTTGTGTGGCACGACCGAAGAACGAACTTTCGACCTCACGAAAGTAAATTGAATGCTCATTCCACTAAACCGACCCTATTTTTATAAAACACAGATTATGATTTTATTTTAATATAGTTTGCCCTGTCAAAAAAGAACGGAAATATTTGCAATTTTCTTACCGGGATTTCAACCCAGTACCTTCATCATTTAAGCCAACGCAACGTTTTAACTATCGCAATAACTGAAGTCGAAATACAATATTAACCGCACTTTATATCTGCATCCATTCCACAAAGGAATTGAAATTAAACTATTTTAACTGTTTAGAACTGGGGCTACTCTAGCGTTGTAACGGGTTCACAATTTGGATGCAGCGTGAGAAATGTCAAGCAATGTACAGTTCGTCGAAAAATCCACGAAAATCAACAGCAAAATGACCCGCGTTCATAAGGGAGCCGTAACTTTCCCAATTTTCTTTCCCGCCGGTCCCCCTTCGTTCCTTCAAAAGCGAATTACTGTTGGTTAAATTTACTCTCATTTTCGTTTGCGTCTGCTTTTTAGTTTTATTTCTTTGATCAAGCTCTTCAAAGTGTAAATTGTTTGAAAGTCGGCGCGAGAAATTGGTATTCAGGGGCAATCTTGCAAATTCTCACCTTTCCGACGAGTTTTTTTCGCCGTTCTTTATTGAGTCCGTTTGTTTCGATGCGGCTTAACTTGATTCGAATTTTTAATTTACTATCTTAATCATCTGTATTTATAATGTGCACCTGATTTTGGTTTGAAACGTACATTGCAAACGAACGACGGCCTCGTCTAACTAAATATAAAAATCTAGCATGTTTGTAAGTTTTTTAGTTTTTCTAAATATATTGTAGTAAACGTAGGTGGTGAAAAAAAGATTTAGAATAAACATCCATTAACTAATAGTAATACGTTTCTTTAAAAACGATTTGTTTTTTCAATTGAATATACACTAAAATGTATTATCATATAAAATATAAGTGCCTTAAGCAAATATAGGTCAGTGTATTAAGTGAAAAATGGGCACACACTGCGTCATATCGGGCTAATGGCTTATAAAAGGAGCTCCGAGTTTCCCACGGGTACCCCGAGAGGGTAAATGGTTTGTGTAGGCGCCTTCGATCTACATTTACGAACATTAGTGGAAATGGGTTGTGAGTTTTTAAAATATATGTATTCATATGGAAATCTGTTTAAATTGGAAAAAATCAATGACACGGGCGGGACTCGAACCAAGCTCACTGATTGCTCTTAACGAAATTGAGATACTGTGTCTCTCAAATTGTAGATCGATCGATTGACTTTAATCGTGCAGTTTATACAACTATTGAGTGGCCTCAAATAAATCATTAAGATTGGAACTTCACCAGGGGCAATAACAGGTTTTAAAAATGTCGAATAACGAATGCTTCTTATACCTAAGCTTGCTTGTTTTATTAATATAAACCAAAATCTATCATAAGATTGGGGCTACAATTGGGCAAGGAGTTTGATTCAAAAAAAAAAACAAAGAACGAATGGGGCATTTCAATATTGTGAACGTTTTTACAAAAAATACAGCAATACCAAAAAGTATAATAAAAAACTGCCTGTAGTTTATATTGCCAACGTAGTAATACAAATTTAAATAGAACAATTTAACTTTTTAAATTATTTTAGCTACCGTGACCACGGCTGCTGTATAGCATCCGAAATGTCGGCCGCGGTTAAAATAATTTTCAAATGAGTTTAACTGATATATTTCGAGTTTTAAACAGTTAAAGTGTTTTATTGTAATGAGTAATAGATATAATATTAGAACATAACAAGCAACGTCCATTTTTAGCCTAAAACACTACGAAATGTAAGTATTAGAATCTAATTCAGTGATATCTCATACCTGCAAGTACGCTGCGTCAGAGACGAGACCACAAAGCAAGGCCCCAGTCAGAGCCCGCAGAACGGCTTTGCCCATATCTCCACACATATTCCTTAATTGATGTTACACCAAATCGACCACTTAACTGCGCTGTGTGTTATGCCAAACTGGTAACGAATACTGGCCAAATATACAGTGGTAGGGTGAAAGGTGGTTGTGGTTCTTGTATTCGCGAGAATTGAGCTGTCTCGCCACCAAGCTGTGAAGACAACATCCACGAATGTCCAATTTTTAATCACTAGATGAAACAATCTAAAGTCCAAAAGAATTAACCAAAATTGGAGGACTGTTTATTTATAAGACACATTTAAATTCAGTATTGACTGTAGTTCACCGAAATAAAACACCTTTTAACGGTTTAAAACGCGAAATATATTAGTTGATATTTATATTTTAACTACGATCCGATGATTCAGATACTCTGCAGCAACGGTGGTCACAGGGGGTTCTGTGTTTGTGTTTTGTTTTATTATAAATGAGTTTAAAAACTGTATTTAGATTAGTTTGTTATGTGCATACAAAGCTAGTAGGTTAAAAGAGAGGTGCATGTATCAATGAGACGCCGTTACTCATTTGGTTAGAGTAACACGGATTGCTGTGAATGCCGGTTCAAGTCCTGCCCGTGGCAAAGTACCCGTGTTTTCACCTTAAATAGATTCTGATTTAAAAAATAAATTCCTTATAAAGCACACAATACAGTATTTCAATTAATTGATTCTTTCAAATCCTAGATTACCTATAGTAGTTAACGATTAAATTAAAAAAAATCACTTAGGATATCATCATTTGGAATTCATCAAACCACGAAGACGGTTACAGGGAATACTTGGGCCTTAATAATGTACTAAAACTATCGAAATGGGAATTATAAGCAATTCTACATAGAACCGACAATCTTGACGTAATTTACGAATACAGCGTCTAAATTTATGCTCTTGCGCAATTGTACACCGTAATTGTTGGCGATTGGTGAAATATCCTGTAACCTGCTCATTATTGTACAAATATCGAAATAAATGTTTTATTGAATGTAAAAAAACAGTTAAATGTAGAGATACTTAAATTTCTTCATGAACCATATTTAAATACAGAGGAAACAAGCAGTTTCACTAAAAATAAAATAAAATCTGTTTTAGACACTTGTCTTATAAGTATCTTATAAGTAGCTGTGCCAGCGATTTCGTCTGCTAGGAATATTTATATTGGCCATCTAAATTCGTTCTTATAAATCTCTTAATCTTTATAAACTAAAGCTGTTACCCACGACGTCGGCCGTGGGGTCCCGTCGTTCTTGCAGGTTAATCTTAAAAGATAGACATATAGCGTCGCGAACTTTTATTAGATCATTTAAAGAGGAATCATTCTTTCATACATGCCTCGGTAAGCCATAATGATAATTTTACCAATTTTTTTTTCACATTTCCCGCTGTATATTCGCTTGTATTAGTCACAGGGCGATGTTTTCTAGCCTTCATCGATAAAGGCTCTAACCAACACAAATAGTTTGGCTAGTTCCTGAGATTACCGCGTTCAAACAAACAAACTCTTCAGCTTTATATATTAGTATAGATATTGAATATTATTACAATTTAATAAAATTAAAATTACTTTTGTCACTACGTGTAGACAATATTGTTATTATACATAGAATGACTTTATTAATTTTTTATGTAATTATTAACTATTAGATTCCTTTTTAAATAATACAAAGATAGACCTATTATGCCGACAGTACATTTAACTATCCGGAACGACATTCATACTACATATACACATATAGTCGTAATACAAAAGTGAAATCTTGAAAGACCATTGTCCTCCTTAAATAATTGCACGTCTGATAATTAGAATAGAAACATCTATTTGGACTTCATTTAATATCTCTTACCTAACTATTTCGTTCGGGTCACGAACCGCGGTTCGCAGAAGAAAAATAACGTTATCAGTCTGTATTCAAAATTCCATAGCCAAAATGAGCGAAAGTACATCTTGTAAATATGTACAAGATGTGCTATCGCTCACATACGGCTGGCTACTTCACCTTTCATCAAATTTCCCTATAATGCTGGATTGTTTTGCATAAAATCTAATTATAACCCAGCTACAAAGAAGCCATTATGAATAGTATATAAGTTTTTATTTATGTTCGATTATACTGCTTAAAAAATTAAATGATTTTAATAACCGAGTAAAATAGTATATACGTTCTGTCTATATTTTACGCGAGTAGTACACATTTAAATAAAACACTTTAACGGTTTAAAACGCGATATATTATACGTTTCAAATGCTTTGCAGCAGACGTAGACACGTCTCCTCGTGACACAGCATCCGAAACGTACGGCCGAAGTTTAAAATAATTTTCAAATAAGTTTAACTAATATTTCGCGTTTTAAACCGTTAAAGTGTTTTCTTTAAATAGTATATACATTTGGTAGAAACGAAAGTTATAAAAGAAAAATCTTTCAAGAAAAAAGAAAGATTTTCTAAAGAGAATTACGGCTAGCACTGTGAAGTATTGACGTTATGCATTTGTGATGTTTCGGAATAATTATAACTTTTCACGAATTTCTTTGATTGTAAGTATAGAAGTGCAATAATTTATATGTTAAAACCAGCTGCCTCAGCGACTTCGTCGATGTCGATAAATGCTCTACCCAACACAAAAACATTATATTCGAACTCGTAGTACCTAAGATTAGCAGATTTAAAAAAAACATACAAACGAACTCTTCAGCTTTATATATTAGTGTATATAAAACTGTAGTTGCACAAAATATTTTAACATTATTAATTTTGTGTAACCGAACTAATGTAACACAATTAATAGCCCTACATATGAATAAATTAAATCTGTTAAAAAAGGTAACCCAGTGTCAAAGACCGCAGAACTAGATAGACAAGTCTTGTGCAATATGTACACAGTAGACCTTCACTCTCTGTATACACTCGCTGGCAAAATTTTTACTTCACTAATAGAACCTTTTATATAAAACGCGATATATATTAGTCAAACTTATTTGAAAATTATTTTAACTACAGCTCGACGTTTCGGATGCTTTAATAAATTTAACTTATATATATCGCGTCTTAAACCGTTAAAGTGTTTTATTTAAATGCGTACTCCGCTCATAAACTACTGACAGTATTTAAATAGATACTTTTTTCAAGGATACTCTATTTACTCTAAATACTGTAACACGTGTTTTCAAGGTGATAGCTGTATGATATCTAAACAAGATGTGCAGTAGGCCTATGTTGGTTTTAGTAGTTAAATAACAGAGCTGTGCGATCCCCTTCGTGTAGCATTCACTGAGTCTGCATCCCGACGTGCCACAAAATTTTAGATTGGGAATCTAGTTTTAAGTATTTTACTGTATTTTTATTTTATTTTAAATTAATAATTTAAAAATAAACAATCATTAACATTAAATGTGCTTTAGCATCCAATTTTCTTCCAAATGGCATTACTGCTATCATAATTATTGTTTTATAGGTAGGTACGTAAAAGGGCCGCACAGTGTACGTTATCTAGAGTACATTGCGTAATTACTTTCGGCAGTCGGCTTAAATCCGATACAGGTCCACTTATATTAGCACACTTTGTAAACTGGGTGAAACAATAATATGGACATATCGTAATTACAAATGTCTTTAAAGAATAGGAAGATATTATTAATAAGTTCAATTGTGAGATACATCATTTCCAGGGACTCAACGGTTGCATTTCGTCAAGCTCAAAAGAGTTGAGGTAGGAATAGTTTTTAATAATAGAATACTAAAAACTGAAGAGACAAACAATGTCTGTTTGTTTGAACGCGTTAATCTTTCAGGACTTCTGTTGCTAGGAGCTGCGAAAACGATTTAAGAATTAAAAAACTTTGTATGAAAGAATGATTCTCCTTTAAATTACCTAAAAACATGTCCGCGATAGTATAGTATAGTCTATCTATAAGGATGAACTTATAAGAATGATGAACGACGAACGCCGACCAAGTGGGGGGGTTGTTTGCAAAAATAAATAATATGATACCCAAAATTCCATGCGGACAAAGTCGCTACCACAGCTAATTCTTTTTTCTACTTCTAGTTCTAGTGTTCTTATTTGCCACAGGTAAATAATAATACATAAAGTTTTATTCAAATGTGTTCTACTCTCGTAAATTACCGGCAGTATCCTTGGTACAACTAGAAACGATTAAATAAAACACTTTAACGGTTTAAAACGCGATTAAGTTAAAGTGTTTTATTTAAATGTGTAGTACTCGCGTAAACTATAGACAGTATCTAGAAACGATTAATTGTTTCGATCGGCTAAGGCACAGGAAAGGAAGGAAGTGTAATCAATTAATTACCTCTAAACACAAAAATATATACGAAAAGGGTAATAATAATAATAATAATAATAAACTCTTTATTGCACAAACATAGACATAAGAACATGGATACATAGAATTACATATACAAAATAAAACATGTTTGTGCAAAGGCGGCCTTATCGCCTATGGCGATTTCTTCCAGGCAACCTTTGCATGGAGAAATAAGAAAAAAGGGTAACTTAATGTTTTTTTACGAGATACATTTCGCGTTTCAAAACGTTAAAGTGTTTTATATAAATGTACCCAGGATTCCAATCCTTTTTGGTTCAACCATCGAACCACGGAGCATGATGTACAGAATTTTTCAATTATGTAGAGTTCTCCAACTTTGTTGCATTCTATTCCTACCCCTGCTGATCTTCAATTTTCTCAAGAACTCTACGCTTCGTCCTAATACTCGTAACATGTAAGGTTGTAACTGTGAGATAACGTAACGAGCGCGAACTCGCCGCTAACTTGCCAACTGAACACTGACCAAGTGTATTGTGGTACATAGATGTAAAACTACTGGTTTTAACTTTTGTCGACATCTAATCGAGAATGTTGAATTTTTTTTTCGGTTTTCAAGCAAAATATATATTACATCTGTACTGTATTTTCTTAAAATGTTTTTTAAAGCGCTTAGAATATGTATATTTATAGCTTTATAAATCATTTAATTTTTTTATC